CAATTTGTTGATAGTTCTCTCTTACGTTTCATTATATATTACCTATAACCAATAGAAAGTCAAGTTTTTTCATTGTATAACGTTGTGTTCTGAACAGATAATCGTTAATTTCACTCAAAGTAGCAACATTGTTCCCGTGGGAAAGTTAACAACTAGCTTGGATGAATTTGTAACGGCTCTTGTCGCATAGTCAGAAAGCCAGGAAAATGTTTAGACGTAAGTGAATTTGTCTACTTTTTGCATGTTATTAGTGTATATTCTTTGGTGTATTATTTAATTAAATAAAAATTAAGTGCTTTACTATAATCACTAAAAAATAAAATCAGGCTTAACTCTCCTCGACAATCGAGGGCAAGAAAAAGGAAGATTGGGTAAGTACTTTATTTCTTGTTTTTCATATTTATTATTATAAAAGTAACTAAAATTAAAAGTACAGATCCTTTTAAGTTATTTAAGACTAGAATAGGTAAAATAAGTAATAATTATAATAATATAATTAAAATGGTTCACGAAGCATGCGAGCAGCTTGTGGGTAATTGTAAATCGATAGTGTAACGGGAGCTGCACCTTCCCCGAGTGATTTACAACTTATAATGACACGGATAGTAGTTAAACATGGTTCAAAGGACAATAAAACAATAAAATTTAATTATAAATAGATGTATAACATTACAAGTTTATAGCTATTCAGGATAAACAAATGTAGTTTCAAGTTACAATTTAAAGTCGTTCTAGAAAGAAAAGAAGGTTAATTGACCGATCCCGTTTTGAGATAGGGTAGAGAAAATAACATATAAACTATAAGAATTTAGTGAAAAAAAACGTTTGAAATGCATTCAGGTGGTTTTAGGGATTACACAAAGGAAATATGAGATGACGAAAAGTAAATTTAATTTTAACATGAAAATCACTTTGCACACGGACTATTCAAAACAAATACTCAATATATTCATGGACAAAATAATGACTTCTTGTATGTGAAAGACTGCCAAATTTTGTGATGATATACCCAATATATACAGAGTTATAGGTATTAAATTTATATCAACTTTAAACGAGTACAAAAGGTCATGCGACTCGGTCAAATTGACTGACCCCGTTTTGGGATAGTTAAGAGGAAATGTTTTTATACACACAGAGTATGATGATATTACATCTGTTCAATTTCAAAAAGATAAACAGGTTTTTCAAATCACTATAATAATATGTCTTTACAGCCACACCTGGCTTACACTTAAGGAGCTCATTTTATCAAAATTTTAACCCCTTTCCTATAATTCATAAATGTAAATTTGGCTAACTATTCCAAATTGTAGCATATTTAACACACACAACCATAAAAGTAAAAATAAACTGAGAAGTAATGTCAAATTGCTAGAGTTATTGACAGCATCTTGCTAAAATTGATAGTCCTATCTGAACAATTACAGTTAGCCCAACGTTATCCATAGTTTTATCATGATATATAAATACTGCTAAGAAACTTTGATACATCCTTATATATTACACCTGCACAGATAGCCTTTTATCCCTAGGAAGAAATTTGATGAAACATTCTTATTCACACACAATTATAAAATTACACCACAAACGTATACAAAAACTACAAAGGGTGTTTAATATGAAGAAGTTACTAGTGATACCTACTCTATACCCAAGTCAACTTCCGGGATACCAGATAACATCTGATTAGACAACATCTCTTCTGACTGTTTGGATGAGGATTGTCTCAGATGCTCAGGAACCTGGAAAAGCACATCATCTGAGAGCTGAGTATCTTCCCTGGAAAAAACAACAACAATGAAATTAAACCTTAAAAGTCACTTCTTTCATTATTTCAGTAAGATTTAAAAACATTTTTTTTTTATAAAATAAATAATCATAACTTCTTCATGATAAAATATTTCTATTTCAAATAGTTTTAGTTTAAACTTTCTTATGTAAGCAATGATAAAACACATTCACCAACATGTTAATTAATGTAGTTTTTGCGTTACGTGGCATAACTGTCTTTGAGGTATGTAATGAAAGAATTCTCAAACATTCTACCTATTATAACAACACTGACATACTTTCTTCTCTCTCTGTTAACATCTTCCTTCTCCACACCTTTACGCTTTGCTAATTCTTCGTCAATGTACTTCATCCTGTAATAGTAAACAACTCATTTTATTCTAATGATTCCAACATATCATTTTCTAACTTGAGAGTGTTTATGTAGAATTATACACAAACTTTTCTCTAAGCTAAAATACTTTTAGTTGCATGCTTTTGGCCTTTTTATCAGAGGCTCTGGTAAGAGGGCCAAAAGCTCTCAAATAAAAGTATTTGAGCGTAGAGAACAATCTGTGTATAATTCTACATACTAATTTACCTACATTACAAGTCTTAAAAAACAATTAAAAGTGTTACTTAAGCTAAAAGTGTATGGTAAACTTAAAACAACATAAACCCTTATAATAAATAAAATGGAATAAATTATATTCATCCCAACATAATTAATTACAAACCAATAATGTTAATTATTATATGATAAGAGAACAGTCTGACTGTATTAAATTGCTCTGCAATGTTCTCTACATTAAAATAAAGTTGAACAAGTTTTCAGGTGACTGGTTGGGTTTCTAAACTGTTATTGTATTACTAGACATTTAAGCATAATGAAAATTATCATTTATTACAATTTGGAGAAACTATACAAGAAAAAGATTTCATCAAAATATATACATTCTCCTTACTTTACTGAATTTTTTCTTAAGTTTAAATAATAAATATATGTATATATCACAAGGGCAAAGATCAGAAAGGTTAAGGTTCAATTTTTGCATTTCAAATGTAACATTGTTTACCAATTATTATTTACTTGACATTAACAATCATAAGTTACAGCTAAAGCTCAAAAGAAGTGCAAGCCAAGTATTATACTTGTAAAATAACCCTCAACTTGGAGTTAGATTTGTTCCTCTCTGATTGTATAAA